TTCAAAAATTTCACCAATATAAAGTAATGTGTACACTCATGTTAAAATTAATAACACTTTTCTTATGAACTATATCTGACATTTTAAAGTATTATCTGATACTTACATTCATAATTTTGCTTTGAAGAAAAATGCACTGAAAAGTACTGATTCTTTTAGCATGAAAACGCCTTACGTACTGATTTCGCGCATAAAAAATCTGGCAACCCTATGTTATTTTAGCTATATTTTTAATAAATTTGGCAATGAATGAAAATACTAAAACTCAAAAAATTTTTTGGTAGGTTTTGGTTGGTTATGGTAGGAAATTTTGGTAGGAAAAAAAGTGTGTCTGTGGCAACGCTGACGCGTACGTTACATTACAAACAAAAAAATTCGCCGTACCGTAGGGTACAGTATTTTTGCGAGGCAATTTGGAAATTTCTTTATGGCGGAACCTATAGGTCTCTTTTTACATACACGTACATACGACAGTAACATTTTTTTTTAATACATAGTTCCATTGGAATAATGGAGATACTTCCTTGGTAAAAGTTTCATGATTTTTTGGTTAGAGTGACAAGAACTGAGATCTGGTGGGTACGTAATTAGAACGCACTTTGAAAAAAAGACCTCCTCGAGACAAAAACAACGATATATCGATGGAACGGTCAATGTAGAAGCTATGACAAAAAATGTAAAAGAGCCAACCCCTTCTTTCGCCCAAAATAAAAAATTCGAAAGTGCCTTCAAATATAAATACATCCTTAGCAAAAGCCTAATGATTTATGGCGACCATTAATTTACTGATATTAGGGTGGTACCTTGGGGTGTACAGCTTTTTTCTGGTGCGGTCTAATGTGTATACAAATTATGTTTATGTGTGTCTTTTAAATTTTATGAAGTGATACTCACCGTAAAAATACTGAAACCGACAAAAATGCAAATGTTGCCGACAACGAAACATACTGAGGGAGCGAGCATTTTCTGTGTGCCTCACTATGATGACCCAACATGAGTAATTCTTCTTCCAACGAAGGTGCATGTGTTGTGACATTACTAGCACAGGGATGGTTCATAACGCAAGTAAACTAAACACGAGAACACACAAATATAAAGCTACTAACAGCATTTTCATTTAAATTTTCTTCACATACTTACCACATTCACCTGACCCACCGAATAGATCAGGACTATGGTGAATATCGTTATAGCCAGACGAAGTGTGAAGCTTCGTGCTAAATCCCAGACAATCCACTTAAGACGCACTGCCAGTAGCAACATTAATATGGCGCTTATCCATACGAAAGCGGTCAAGAAGAGCAGCAAAAGTATGAGAGTTCGTGGGAGAGCTGACACCTGTAGTGCTGCACCCAATATCAACAGCAACAGCGAACAACCCATGGCGGTGGTAAAACCCAGATCAAAATCTTTACGGTATTCGCGCTCCTTATCACTCTCGCGAAAACGCAAAGTAATGCGGTCGACATGCTCGGACTTATCGCAATCGACGGAACGTGCATTGATCGCCTGTGAGAGGAAGCGATTGACGCGATTGGTCGGTTGATAGTGCATTGAGGAGTGTCGCTTGCGGAAAGGGCGCTTAAATTTATCCGTCACTTTTGACTGCTTTTGGTTGATTGATAGGTTGGCATTGGTATTGGTGTTGTAGGTGTTTATTATTTTGATGTTATGTCAAGTGTTTTTGTATGATTTTCATTTCAATGGCATGTAGTTTTTTTATTGATAGCAATTTGGTGGTACACGCACGGAACAGGACATGTCGGATCGGGATACAACGAGTATGCCAACAAGAGTGCGTGTTTGTGTTTGAGCGGGGAAGTGAGAAGGAGAAAAAAGAGAGAAGCAGACATGGCAAGACACATGGAAGAGAAATGAGTAAAATTACTTAGTTGCATTTGACAGTACAAATACATTAATACATAAGTACATTAATAATAGAGATAATTATATTTTTCATATGTATGTATGTATGTATGTATGTAAATATGAATGGTTAGGCTTATTATAAGTCAACTGGTATAGAGCAAAGTTCTCCAAAAGCTGATTGGGATAAAAAACCCAGAAGCCCAAATATGTACATTAGGGCAGAGTAATTTGTTCGGAGCAAAAGAAGAAGTGTAGAGCAAATTCGAATTCTACGATCTACTCTAATCCAAAATGGTGAACAAACTATATATGTACAAAAAATGACGTTTGTTCCACCCAATTTTCAAAAGGGAAAGCAGTACATTGTATAACGAAAACACGAAATTTTGTAATTTTCGTTCTGAGAAAAGTATAATACACTGATATTTCTTTTAAAAATTGGGAGGGTCAAACGCCATTTCTGGTGTATAGTTTGTTCACCATTTTTGCTTAGAATCAAACGTAGAATTCGAATATGCCATACACTTTTTTCGAAATTAAATTACCCCGCCGTAATGTACATACTGTTACATGTTGTTCTCATAAGCTTTTGAAGAGCTTACACTCTGAAATTTACAGTTTAAATGAACTCATTTAAACGTAAAATACAATGCAAAAACGAGAGCAAAAAAACGGAAAGCAATTATGCACATACATTCATGAATAAAATTAATATTTGTTTTAAGCATTATTAAATGTAAATGTGTTTTTTTCTGATCGCGGCAAAATTTCAAATTCTAACCACTTGTCCACCTTGCTGGAGTATAACAAAATTTTTACATACTAAGGTATGCACGAGGGCAATTTGAAAAGTCAGTGCCTTTTTGAATTGTCCGTGCAGTAACTTTAATGCAATGTTGCTTCCGGCAGCTGCCATCGAATAATAGACTACCCTAAAATTTTGAGCAATCTGCGCCATTTAGTTTATATTTGACAGCCATTGAAGGCAAACAATCTCGTGAATTTTAACGAAAATGGAAAAAAAGTTCATTTCATGTGCTGATTAAGCATTATTTTTATCGTAAAAAATCCATTACCGAAACCAAGAAAACGGGTGCTTAATACCATGGATAGTCTGCACCATAAATTTCAATGGTTGAAAAGTGGTTTGCTAAGTTCCGTNGTTCATTTCATGTGCTGATTAAGCATTATTTTTATCGTAAAAAATCCATTACCGAAACCAAGAAAACGGGTGCTTAATACCATGGAGAGTCTGCACCATAAATTTCAATGGTTGAAAAGTGGTTTGCTAAGTTCCGTCGTGTTCATAGCAACTCAAGTGACTCCAAACGTTCAGACCGACCAAAAGAAATCGCCACGCCAGAGATCGTCGTTAAATCCATGAAATGATATTGGACGATCGGGGAATGAAAGTGTGTAAGCTTCTTAACTGAGTGGGTACATCACATTTTACGTGAATATGTGGCTATGAAAAAGCACACCGCGCGATGGGTGCCGCGTTTGCTCACACTCGACCATGAACGCAACCGTGTGACCACTCTAAAGGATTATTGGCGATGTTCAGCCACAATCTGAACGAGTTTTTGCACAGTTTCGTGACCGTTAACGTTCCAGAGACCAAGGAACAATCAAGAAGTGACCCAAAGAAGGCTAAGGTGGGTCTGTCGGTCAATGTCATTGCCACAGTTTTTTGGGATCCATGCGGTGTGATTCACACCGATTTCCCTGAAAATGGCAATGCGATCACTGGCGAATATTAGTCAGTGATTTTGGACAAATTCGAAATCGATTTAAAGTAAAAACGACCACATTTTGCAAAGAAATAGTACTGTTCTATTAAGACAATGCATAAAGTCGAAATTTTTATGTTCTCACCCACTAGATTTGTCTATGTCGACAAAAAATATACTCCTTTTTTATTTTAAAATCAAAAAATATTCACAGGTCGAACAAAACGATCAAAGCTTTGCATATATTTTATATGGGAAAAAATAATTTTCCGTAGAAATGGTAGAAAATTCTTGAAAATCAATATATTTCGATTGGAAAACTCTATTTCTTACTTCCAATAATAGACCCCAATCGTTTATTTAACCATTTTTTAATATGAACTCGTTTTCTAGGGCCCCTAAACATCAATGGGGAGCGCTTTGAGCGCCCTCTAAATATTTTTTGATTTCGAAACAAAAAAACGCGGATATTTTTCCATACAAAACAATAGAAGAGTGAGAGCATTAAAACTCCGACCTTACCCTTTTTGGACCACCCTAATTTGCATCATATATAGGGCATTTCAGCCCTTTTCGGGCGCCATTTGGATTTTCCATCTACGATTTTATTATAATATTGAGTCGAAAAATTTTCAAAAACGCATTTCAATACAATTTTCGTAGTTTTAATATAAAATGTTGATGGAAATTTTTTCTAAAAAATTGTCACTCATTCCGAAACTTTTAAGCATAGATCGATATTTGTATAGCAACAGAATCTATTTTATTCGAAGTTTTAATGATGACTAATGAATGAAAACTAACAAATTTTGTCCAACTCGACGCCAATAAACTTTGATCGTATTGTGGAGGAAGAAATTGTCTACATAATTGCAGTGGAAATTACCAAGCTACGACTAAGCAATTTCGCATGATCGATTGGTAGTTTCAATGATTTTTTTCATGTATGAAATATGAGTAGGAAAGAAGTTACTAATACGCCATGTACGAGTATCCGAACGTTTCAACGAACCTTAAGGAAACCGATAATAATTACAATTTTTTTAAAACTAAATCACTACATATTAGGAAAAAACAGTTTTTATTAATTGAATGGTACGCAGGTGCGGATAGGACCTGAATTCTACATTGCTGTAAGAAGTTATTGCAACAATTCTCAAAGTAGATATACATATGGATGTACATATGTATGTATAATTAAATGTAAATAAAACCTGATTTCGGTCCCTATTTATGCATTTAAAATACTACAAAATAAAGATTGAGTTTTACATAACAAGGGCTTAAATTCAACGCCCTCTCAGCAATTTTTACAAAAATCACATAGTTTCTGACTGTCATTTATAACATTAATGTTATTCTTAAGTATCGATTTTGAGCGATAGTGTTTATAAAAATCGCAGTACCCTCTACAGAGTATAAGCGATATGTATGTACATTGATTAAATCAGTAAAATAAGTAGAGAGTAAATAAGTCTGGGCATTTTGAAAAAGGGAGGCGAAAAATCATGCATGGAAAAAGCAAACGCTAAAAGGTAACAACAATAATTTTGATATGCGAATTTCTACACAAATATTTTAGCAAGAGGAAGTTTTTGTTACAGCTTTCTCAAATCTTTGGCCAAATTTTTGTAATACTATGTAGTAGAAACTTAAACATTTATTAAATGTAATGATTAATTTTTAGAATATCGATTAAGCCAAAAATTATAAATAGTTAATAAGACTAGTGAAAGTTAAAAGCATTCACCGATTTAATTAAAGAAATTACAGCGAGTAGCAATTAATGAAATTTCAATGAAAATTAGTTAAACCAAATTCGGAATAACGATGCTTAAATGCAATGGTATGCAGCACAATGTAACGCAAGGAAACGGAATGTAACGGAAAAACATAAACGGCTCGTTATGCTTTATGTTCTCTAATTTGAATAGTACGAATATGTATGCATATGTTTATGGGAAATACGAGTAGTTTTACGTAACGTATTACAATAATGGTAACACAAGAACGAACGAACGAACGTCAGAGTGCAAATATTGCATAGGTAATACATTCTCACTTTATTTTTATTATGATTGAGTCTGTGAATGCGACTAATCGTATTCGACGTTGAGTTAGGAGTAGTTCCTACTGAGATTGTAACACCGCCACCGGGTGGTGTGGGGGCATGTAAAATTTTTTGTAGTCGTATAACCTAGAGAAAAATAAAGAAATGTAATATAAAAGAACACAAAGAAAATACAAGTAAAACAGAAAGTGATAGAAAAAAGTCAAGGAAAAGAAGGAGAAAGTAATATAAAGATTGTATCTGTATTTGAAGGGTGATAACAGTAAACTTAAATTGAATGCTTATGACTAGACTTTACTTAAATCATAAAATAGTTAATACAGATTAAATAAATTTATCTTATCTTATCTAGTAATAAAATATATATATAGATACGTATTTTACTTCTACGAAATAAACTTTCTACAATACCTTTAATAGGTATATTATTTCTCTTCTAATAATAAATTAAAATGATTGTTTACAACTTTTACGATAGGTACTAAAATCTTCATATACGAGTTTATATTCATTAATAGAGTTTAAACAAATGTATGTTCAAGTCACGTCAGTGGTGATTGAGATGGACCTAGGTATGTCTCCTTTGAAAGGTTTGCGATTTTTATGAGAAGCCTTTTCGTGGATACTGCTATCCAAATAAAAAAAAAAATACATCATTCTGAGAGAGGACCCAACGTCTACTAGAATACTTGTTTCATCAAGTTTTTGCAGGACGAACCTAATGAAGCGAATGGAGAAGTAGATTAAATAGTTCGTACGAGTATCAGAAGTTCATAAATGGGCCGAAATGATTTGGCTAATTAGATTATGTTTTTATTTCTGTGATAGAAATGTGCTGTTCAAACTCAGAATATTGTCTCTAGGCCTTTCCTTGCATTTGTCCATTTTATTGAACATGTCAGAAAACCATTTTTACGTTCGTTTTGCAGCGTCTTTGT